CATTGTGAAAATCTGTTTTGTTTCTCCACTTTGCTTTACGATGGCACCTCTCTAACCAGTGGTTAGCATGACTCACCGTTGAGACTTTCTCTCTGTTTCGCCGTAGTGAGTTTGCTCAGAAAATTGCCAGCCGCGATTGCTACTTATTACTGTTTCTTTGCACTTTGCCCCATATTTGGAGATGGGAAACAGACCTTCAGCTGCAAACAAAACTTTCTGACTTTTTTTTAATCTGTTTTTCTCACATATTAGTGCTTCTGCTGGTATTTTGTTTTGTGCATTCTTGCGTTATTTACATATTAATCTACTTTTTAATTACCTTATGTTACATGTGACAATAGAGCTCTAGTAGAACACAAACTATCCCTGCTTTTGAGCTGCAAACTTGAAGTGATTACATTTGAATGAAAAAAAAAAAAATCAAAAATAAATCCAAGAAAATAAATGTCCAGAATTAACGTTTTATCTTCAGGGCTAAAACTTTCCAGTGCTTGTGTTCCATCTCATGAAAAATGATTTGCCCCTGGTGGAGAACTGTGACGCTAACTGAACTGCATGCCCTCCAACTTGTGCAAAGATCAGGACTGGGTTGCTCTTCAAAATTGAAGTTTTCAGGTTTGAATTACAGGTGGATGCTCGAGGTGCAGCTTCTGTAATCTCTGAGAAGAAAAGAGAAAAGAAAAGAAAAAGTGGCATCCAGCTGAGAAGCCGCAGCATGGTAAGAGTTACTCAGCTGCTGGAGACTGTTTGCCTGTAGGGAGTCATTAGCTTTCTAGCAGCAGTTCTGAGCAATGCCGTAATGCGTCTGGCAGAGTCGGTCCAGCGATGGGGCCGAATGCTGACGCACCAAGAAGAAGGTCTGGTTGTTTCTGTTGCGTTGCAGCCGGGCGAAGATCTGGTGCTCTTTGTTGTATGCATGACAAACAGTTGTTTCCCAGAAACACACTCGACCATCGAGGACAAACAATGCAAAACTGCTGTGAACGGTTAACTCTTTAGAGATTATGCAATTTTCCATTTGACTCTTGCCATTTCTCTAATCCTGTAACTGATTCCAGTTTTTGTCCTCTTTCTGCCCCCGGTTTCTACATCACCTTTGCTGATGGCTGTAATGATCCCTTTCGGTCATTACGTCACAAACATTGAGCGAAACGTTTGGATATGCCAGAATAAGAGTGTATTAGTAATTTTAATTATTTTAATACTTAAAAACACACACACACACACACAGGATTCACAATAGTAGATGGCAAAAAAAAATAATCCTGCACAAATAGAAAGCTAACAAAACTTTCATTTTAGTATACCATGATGAGTTATGCAAGATAAAAATGTTTTTTTTAAACGTCAATCTCTTTTATTACACCTTTAAATAATACTAAACTTCGTTTGTTTAATATATAATTTCTCCATAAGGCATTATCAAACAAAGAATAAAGTATTTAACCGACAAAATGGAGACGAAACTGATCACTCTTTCATCTTTATTAATGAAGGCTCCATCGATTCTTATTTACTGACGTAGAAAGACCAAGAGTTATTTTGCTGTGTGATTAATGCAACAAAACTGAAAGTATCAATTTTATTTTTGCAGTGTGGAAATGTATTCTGATGACTTGATATGTACTTGACAATATTTTAGAGATTTTTATTTTTTTTGCAATAAAGCACAGGATCATCTTAAATAAATATGATGCTTGTCTATTCAAATACAAATAATAATAACAAAAAAAAAACAATAACTTATCCAACAAATTGCATTTTTACCATTGTTATTGCAGAAAAAAGCTCACTCTCCCAGCTCAAGAATTTCACATTGTTTGGTTAGATATACAAGTATCTGTGGAAACAGTTTAAAGTACAGCAAATACTTTCCTTTTCTTACAAAAATATGAATGAAAATAAAAACTAAATTCTTTGGTGTTTAAGCGAAAAATAGGGCAAAAATGTCTACACACAAAAAGGCATTGAAATACAAAGGAAAAATACTGCTACAGCAAAGAAATGACACAAGGCAGGAAAAAAAATCCAGCTCTTCCAGTTTATAGAGATCTTTAAGTGGAACTCTGTAGAAAAACATGGACAGTTTTATACTTATTACCACAAACATCTGATAAACTCCTAGGATCCATCCTATTGCATCAGTTTTTGGACAGCATCGTGACACCGTGATGCAACGCAGAGAGGTATTTTTTATTAGTTTTTTTTTTTTTTTTATCTTGATCATGTCAAGCATCACGCTGGAGGACAGGAGAGATGCGAAAAAAAGTGCATAAAATTTCAACTCATATCAGCTCCTTCGTCCACAGCAAAAGGTGGACTTGTTTCATCCCCGAAACGATGTTCCCTTCCATCAAGTGCCCTTATTTACATTCCTATGATCAGGTAGTACTTTTCCCCGCAGTCACAACTTCTTCTTTCACCTACACTCCATTCCTTGCACAGAGTCCAGCAAGCAGGCGTGACCGCGTTCCGCTTAGCTCAACATGGAAAGGGACCAAAGGTCGGTGGAAAGCAAAAAAAAAATTTTTTTAAAATATATATATATATATACTTATATATATATATATATATATATATATATATATATATATATATATATATATATATAAAGAAAGAGAGAGAGAGAAAATCACAGTCCTCGGATTGGAACTGGTCCCCTCATCATCTTGGTGGTCATCAGTCAACTAGGTTGTAATAAATATATTATCAGTAGAACTGCTACAAACCGTTTTCTTTTTGTAACACACAGTCCTAGTTTATACTTTTGAAGAACATTTGCAAACAATAGACATTGTTTTAGCAAAAAAAAAAAAAAATAGAAAAAAAAAAAGTCACAGCAGCAGCAATACAAAGTCTTTCGCTTGTGGTCATATGTTCATCGGATCAAGTTAAAAATATTTCATACAATGATTCATCTTGTAAACACTGAGAAGTCCTGCACTCATGTCGCATGGGATCATGTCCAAACGTTACACCGATTTACATTCAACATCCATGCTAATTCTAAAGTTGCTAAGAACAAGTCGTCGGTCATTGCTAAATTTGGGCCTACTGACGGAAAGAGGGACGTTTGCAGTAACTGATGGATGATATGTCTTCCTCCGGAGTACATTCAAACGCAGTAACAGCAAGTACTCTGTTTCTCTTGGCACTTAAATAAAGGAACGTTACCTTGGTCTGTTGTCGCTTTCAGATGTTCATGGTGTCTGCTAAAATTAAAAAGTGAAGAGTGTTTCATGAGTGTTTCCTGATACATGGAATCCCTTCACTAATTCCTGCAGCACAGTGCCATGAGCAGCATTGATTCTTCACAGTACGATAGTTGTGAATGGAGCCTTGCAGGTTGGCTGGTACCTCTCAGGGTTTAATACACTTCAGACTGTCTCTGACCCCTTAAAAGTAGGTGCAGTTCACAGGTTTGGCTCTGGATACATCCCACATGACATGAGTGCAGCTGAAAAGCAGCTCTCCATTTTAAAGCCCTTTGTGCTTTGTAAACGTCCACTGTAACTGTTAAAGAAAAACACTGAGAAGGCACACCAGTATATCACCCCGAAAGCAACAAATACACTGAAACAAAACTGAACCAGTGCAGTGGTTCGTTTTAGGAAAACAAATTCATTTTGCGTGTACAGGTTGGAGAAATAGGTTTGCAACACGGAAACGTTTTCTCTGTAAATAGGCAAATAGCGAATTAATGAAAGTCACATTGTTTGTCAGCCACCAACATAAAACACACACATACAAAGAACTCCAAAAAAAAAAGTGTGTCTGTAAAGTTGAATTATATGTAGTGAAATGGAGTGACGCAGACGGCGATTATTAAAAATATGAAAACAGAAGCATCAACAGAAAAAAAAATGAGAGTAAAGGCAACCGATCAGTTTTCAATTTTCAGATTTCTACGCCCAACTACTGCACAAGACTCCACTGCTGAAGGAAAAAGCCTGTTGAGATCTATGACTCTGCAGCAGAACACTTGGACGAGTGAATAAAACACTGGGAGTCTGTACTGGGGGTGAGGGTTGGAGGTAGGATCATCACGGCAGGAAATCCAGTGCAGGTGGCACTGGATTTCTTGATAAGAATCTAAAGATGACGATGATGAAAGGATGAATTTCTCAAGAAGGCCAGTGTTCACGAAGCCAAGGAAATTCTCATCTGCTTCCCATGAAGGACAGTAAAAATGCTTTAGTGAAGATTAACTGGATTCAAGTCCAATTAATCCCTGGACTTGAATCCAATTGAAACCAATTGAAACAGAACCGCTTAATAAATCCTGAATGCATGTCAATAAATGCGTTCATTGCTTCCCTGTGTCATTTCAAAAGGCCCCAGTAAAAATATATTTGGTGAGAAAAACAGTTTCATGTTAAATGCCCATTACCCCACTGCGTGTTGATGTGGTGAAAAGAAAAAGAAAAAAACAAGAACAACGACTTGGGTGCTTTAGTACCACTAGTTGCTCAGAGGTGGAGCCTCTTGCAACAACAGTCTTTGTGCAGTTGCTTGATAGTGGAGACATACTGGCAGTCGCATGGCTCCCTCGCAACGCAGAAACATACGGAACATTCTCAGTTTGTGGGGTGCAGATATTTCTTGGTGACAATGACTCTCTGGGAGAAAAGTCTTCTTCCTGGTCAAGTTTAAACCCCAAGAGAAAAGCTACGAATCCACAGTTTCTCTGGCTAAGTTACTTACATTAGACAGATGCCCAGTGGATACGACAAAAGTAAGAGGTAGCTAATATTACAAAGCCTAGCACTCTTTCCAGCCAACTTTGATAGCAACGGCAAACTTGCCAATCTTGGTTCTCGAAGATGCCCAGTTAGCCTCCACTTCTACAAAGGTTAGGGATTTAATGGTTAGAGATAAACCCTTTTCTTTGTCCATTGTGGTGGAACTCAGTTTTCTCACCAGAGTTGTTCTGCATAGACAATCTTTGTAAACAGGGATATAAAAAAACTGAAGATATTTCAGTGGTTAGTGGTGTGTTTTTGTCTCTGGGTCATACGTCCAGCACCATGTCATAATGACTTTCCTTCTTCCTCTTTCCACATTTGTTTATGAGAACGGCGTATAGTGTGAGCAGTATCACCCAGTAGCTGGCATAGACTACTGCCCCAACGATGAGCACAATCTCCTCGGATTGAGGAAAGGGTTTCTTAGTCTGTTGGATTATTGTGTAAATAAGCCCAATAAAAAGGATGGTGAACCAGACAGTTATTGGAACCAGACCAATAAAGTTCACCACTATTGTTTTCCTCCCAGAGGTCCCCCAGCCTGACTTGTTAATAGTCGCGATTGCAAACATTTTGGCCGGCAACAGGCTTGACATATACAGTACTGAGTAAAAAGACATGAACACCATGACAATGTTGCCTCTGAGGCAGCTCGCGAACGACGACTTGATCAATGCCACTGCCTGCACGATGAGCAGGAACAACAAAATATTCCAGAGTCGTCCTTGGAAGAAGAGCTGGATTGCGGTGGCGATGAGGAAAAACGGGAAGAATCCTGTGATCACCGCCTCATACGTCATCCACAGATGATGCTTATGGAACCACATGGAGTTGTAAAGCCATTCCCTAAAGTAAGACTTACTCCATCGAGTCTGCTGATTCAGCCATCGCAAATACGTAATGGGTGTCTCCGTAAGGCACTTCGCCCGTGCAGTATATTTGGTCGCATACCCTAGGCTGAGTACTCGGTTCGTAAGGTGGCGATCATCCCCAAAGCTGCAGTGGGATCCCATGAAGGTCTGATTGTACCAATCTTCAAGAAACTCGTGCAGCAGAGAATTCCTGTACATCCCCAGAGGTCCGCTGATGCACTGAACACAACCGAAGTACGACTGGCAAGCCCGCTCGATGTTGAAGGCCATCCAGTAGCGAACGCTGCTCAGGAAGGAGATCCATGATTCGTATTTATTCAAGATCTACAGAAAAGATTAGAGGGCCAAGAGACAGATGTTATGCTTAAACATAGCATTTGCTTAGTTTTTTTTGTTGGGTCAAACACTGAAATTCAAGATATCAAAAAGCACGAGAACATAGTTTTGTTACCCTACCTGCACGTCTCCTCCAACACCTCCGACCATTGGGTCCTCCTCTAAAACCTTCACCATCTCCACTGATGATGCTGGGTCCAGCATGGTGTCCGAGTCGCACACCTGAGAAAAAAAAAAGTGGGTTAGCTACGTTTACACATCAAAGATAAGACACAATCTTCATTACCTTACTTAAGAGAAATAGTACAGCCAAAGGCTTTACAACACCCACCAGAGATCTGCTTTCAACTATAATTGCCTCTCCTGTTCGGTCTTTTACAGATGCTCACTCCATTTTCTTCTATAAAAGGTCGTTTTCCTGATAAAGAAAATCAGTTGATGGGTGGAAAAAAAAGAAACCTGCCGCCAAATCCCCATTAACAAAGGAATCTGTTACAGACCGGACTTGATAGTAGTGGGAGTGCAGGGATTTCTTACTAATTCCTAAACGCTGGAGAGTACCGACATGATCCTTCAAGATCTCTGCTTAACAAATGTTGTTTGCAAGGCACAAGTCTGCTGCAGGTGTCAGGCTTTTTACTTCCAAACGCCACATGTTTTTTAGATCTAATAATTGATGAAAGCATCGTGTTAGCTTATTATGCTATGTATTTTACCTCAATTTCTACTCGCAATATTGACAGATGTGAAAACACTCAGCTAATGACAGTTGGTGTTGCAGCCACTGCATTTGTTCACAAAGAGACTCACTACAAGATTTACAAACTTTGTGTTTCTTTTATAATAATTGAGTTTTAATCAAGCTAAACTTGTTAGTAAGTCACAGAATACCCATGCCAATCATTTGTCTTACACAGGGTCAGGGTTTGATTCAGAACATCGCCGATGTGATGTCACCCTGAACCCCATGAAACCGATCTGGTATTACACTTAAGCATCAGCTGCTGCTGCCCTTTTTTACGCCTCACTTCACAACACGATGCATCCAGTCACCGTCTGGCTAAAAGGAACACAAAAGGCTCTTTGTGGAGCTTGTGTTTGGCTTTGTGCAGCCCCCCTTTCTCTCTTCTCCGACCACATGTCTTTCTGCTCTCTTTCCTCCTCGTGCTCAATGTATGCTTCTGTTGACTGCATATCCCCTGGTCTAATTTCCACCGCTCTCCTCTTCATTTGCCACCTAATGTTTGGTATAGTGGAGTTAATCTGCTGAACTGATACCTTTTCTCCTGCTTACATGGCTAAGCCTTACCTGTACATAGTCCACGCTCCTTCCCAGTGCTTTGAAGGCTGTGTACATGACCTCTCTTTTGCCTCCCCACTTCTGCATGATGCACACACATTTATTGCTGAGCACGGTCCTGGAGACTTGCTGGAGGCTCTCGGCGTAGCTCTCATCAGTCTCCTCCGGACCTTTGACGTGGTAATTGCTCCGCCACACGTACGACACTGACTTGTCCCATCCCATGACTTCCTTAAAGATCTCCATCATGTACATGTCGTCGTCGGAGTTCCCATCGATCACCATGATAACTTTGATCCCCGGGTACGTCAGCCTCTTCACAGACACCAGGCACTTTCTAAGGTAGTTTGGATCCTCCTGATAAGCAGCAATGCACAACGCCAAGGACTTGCTCAGTTTGATCGGCGTCTCCAAGGAGCGCCGCATGTTCCTGTGCTCCAAGAGAGCGAAGAGGCTCTGGATGATGAGGTGGACGACCAAAATAGCACCATACAAGCCGAAGGACAGATAATTGTGGGCTGTGGTGAAGAACTGATAGCCCATGATGTAGGCTGTGGAGATTCCCACCAGGAGGGACACGCCGAACATGGTGGTCCCAAATATTCTCAGGTAGCTCAGGACTCTCTGACACTTCATCTACGGAGAAGAAGACAGGAAGATATTTTTTTAGGTTGATCGGAGGGGCGATGAATGAAAAGAGGGCAAAGAAATGTTACAATTAAAATAGCTGATACATCCAATGTGAGCAAAACTGGAGGGAATAAAAATGTTGGAGCTGTGAATGTGGGTCAGACTGTTCAGGTGGTGAAGAATGAAAATGAGTTAGTTCATTTTAAGTTAGAACTGGTTCTAGTTAAGGGAGAACAAGCACACCTATGCACGGGATGAAACACAAGAATTCAGTGAATACAATTCATTGCAGCTGATGTTCACCATAAACGGTTTGTTGCAGGTTAGTTCACTTGTGTGGTCGCTTGTTTAAGGCTTTGACAAGAACAAGCAGGTAATACCTGGTTGCTTTGTTGATTTATGCCCAGTATTCACCTCAAAGATGTCAGACTATCTGTAACTCTAAATGCCTTCCACCTTGATAGAAAACATACAAACTCAGGTAAAGGGAGAACTTTTTTTTTCCTGTACTTTCTCCGGCTTGCTGTCCTTCCCCACAATCCTTGTCTAAATGCCACACAGTCGAGAGCAAGCGTTTGTTCCATGTCTCTTTTAATGTGGGTGGGTGCACATTTTCTTGACCTAATTAACCGGCAAACTGGATGCTGCAGCCAACTATCACAACAGGGAGTAATAGAAAGCGCTAGTGATTGATATCAGCGTTCTGTAACGTTTAAAGACAAAACTTTGAATACAGTAAGGGCTCAAAGCAGCATGCAGGTTAACTCTTTCTTCTTATGAATGTTTGTCCTGCTTTTTTTCTGTATAATCCTTTTGCAAAAACACAAAAAACAAAACAAAGAGAACAATATTCAGCTCAAACTCCTGAGGTCTGCTAGAAGCCTTCATTATGTTGCTACCAACATCTGTTTGGCAGACCAACGGAGACCCACTCTGCGTGGCCTCGGCTCGGCTCAAGGCAGAGCGGACCACCCTCTGATGTCATCTGTTTGTATCTCCGTGGGAAGAAGGAGACAAGATCTCTTAAATTTCCCCTTTGCTCCGTTAGTGCCTCTTCCCTTCTGTGATTCCTTATAAACATTATTATAGGAAAATTAGTTCCTTCGGCAACCTTTAGGTCCAATGCTACCGAGTCAGTGACTCGGTAGGGTGCCTCTTTAGGTGCACTGGATGAAGGCGCTTTTCCATGTGTGCATACAGTGAGTCTAATCGAAACAACATGAAGTGAAATCATACTGGCAGCTCCTGCGTAAGGACATGTACACTGCTTAGCAAAAGTATTCGTGTTCCCAAAACCTTTTGTCACGCGTCAGAAGCCACACAGGCACAAATGTGAGTCGATCCAAACCTTCAGTGTACAACTCCGGTCCTTGTTTAGGAGAGTTGAATCAAGGTGACATCTAAAACATGCAGTGCATAATCCTTTAAAAGCTAACTTCGAACCTTACTTTAGCTCGGGTTGTGTGTTTAGGATCATTGTTCTGCCGGAAGGTCAGCCTTGACTGCAGCACATGCATAGATTGTTGTTTATTGTTATCCTGAATGCATAAAAAGAAGGGCAGGAGTATCAGGTTCATAAAGTGTAGACAGGATGATCTCATTGTTAAATATCTTCAGTATAAATACTCTGGTTACAGCTCTGACTGTCCCGTGATAGTATCTGATTCAGTCTGAAGTCTTTCTTCTGGGATTGCCCTGCATTTACTCTATCTTCATCTTACCTGCCTCAGCTGAAGAAAAGCATTCCTTTTTGTGTCATTTTATTTTAAAATCCAAATAAAGTCAAACATTGTGTTTATACATGAGAAAATGTGAGAAAATCCAAGTGGTGCGAATATCTTTTGAGGTTCTGTGCCATGCATAAATTGCCTATTCGGTTTAATGCAATGTATTTTGCATCAGACTCGTTGAATTCACAATTGGAGGGAGTGAAAAAAAATTACTGTACCGTGACTATAAATCTGACAAACACAGTCATCAGAACAATGATGCACAAAGTCAAGTGCTGTTTGTGGTCTGGCAAGACTTCAACACACCGCGCCCAGACTCGCAAGACAGATGGTGAGAGGGGAGGGAAAACTAAAGCGAAAGACCCAAACGAAAGTAGGTAACAGAAGCAGATAAACAGAGAAGTGTAACAACAGGGAGATAACTTAAGTTCAGACATGAAGCACAGCGCGGCTGCTCTGGCACGTGGCGAGGCTCTTAACGTCAACCACTCTTTTACGAGGCCCCCGACACCCAACCGTGCAAAACACACAAAACGGTCATTTTAAAGAGGCCGTTACACCTAAAGAAGAAAGTCAGTCAGTCAAGTCTGTCTGTGACAATGTACATTTTCAGCAGCTATTATGACCTCCGCTGGCTCCCGCTCTCTGATGTGGGCGAGCGCATGTGTGTATGCTGGTTTACAGCAACATCGGGAAGAGTGGAATGAACCCTGTGACCTCGTCTCCTTGAGTCAGTTTAGAAAGAGCTCAGGAGAAAATTTGTCCTGATGTGTATCGTTGAAGATACACATTAGAAATTCTTGCTATGCATATACATGTTTAAAGTATAAGGACAGGAGTTGTGCTGTATCCCTGCAACCAACAAAATGAACATCAGAAAGCCTTGATCTTCCTCACGTTACATCTGCTGCCCTGGGTGTGTGTTGTCTTGCAAAGGTCAAACTAACAATTAGCTCAGAGAGCAGAAAGATTAGCTGCAGACTGCAGGGAGCCCCTGAGAGATAAAACTTCCGAGGGAGCGCTGCCTGTGACCGCGGAGGCTGTCATCAGCACGGCAATGATGCTGTCTCTTCGGGACACATCTTTGCGTGTCAGAAGACGTGACATTTATCTGTTCAAGCTGTCGGTGTCGTTGTCACGGGATGATATCAACCCAAGCCTTTTTGTTTGTTTTATGTCTCCAGACATGGGAGAGTCACCAAAGATCCCCAACAATCCATCTGCTTTCTCTGTGAAGAGTGATTCAAATTCAACTGCGAACGTACAAAAAAATTGAATGTTTAATATCGCTATTGGTCGACAAAGTAAAACTGTTTTAATTAAAGGTTTGGGTTCTTTATTTGGTGTAAAGTTTAATTGTTGGTAAAGAGCAGCCCGGGTTCCTGTTGTCACTGCCTGTGGATGTCCTCAGTTGACCTTGTCCCCTGCTCCTCATTTAACAGCCATCTTCCATCCTCATAACAACCCCATATTGTCATTTGTTAATCATTGCTCCCTATTTATATAACAAACAGCACAGAGATATTGTTTTGAATTAAATATAGGAAGACAATGTGCTGTGAGGCAGGTATCCTGGAGGTTTTAGATGTTTCTTCTGGTTTATTGCACCTGATTTAAAAAATATATATATCTTGGCAGGCAAGTGCAGAACTGAATTCGACGCGGCTTTGACATTTTAGACATTTTTATTCAAGTTTGAATGCATTTCATATAATATACCTACACAGAACAGCGATGAAGTCAAAAAAAGTTTTTTTTGTTTGTTTGTTTGTTTTACAAATGGTCCTCCTAAATAAAATCTAGTGGATCCAATTGTCTTTAAAAGGCACACATTTAGAAAACGGACTCCAGGTATGCAGTGGACACTGAACAGGTTTAAAGTGGGGCTGAATTACAAAACCTGTTCAACATCTGAGAGTCACTGCAACCAAAAGCAAAAGTAAGTTTTTGAAATTTGTGGCCCACATGCAGGTTGCAAGCACACAATGCAACATTGCTAAAAACACATGCAAGACACACTTTGGAGGATTTTTTAAAAATTAATTCCAGCAATTATGCAAAACAATGTGCTGGTCTATCACATAAAATCTCAAAAACATTGTTTTGAGTCTGTGGTTGTGATGTGACTAAATTTTTAAAAATGGGGCGTGAAAACATTTGGATGGAACTCTGAGTGATTCGTCAACGTTAACACGTTCACCATATGCTGAAATGCCATCACGCTACAGAACAGGAGACCGCTGTGTGAGCACGCTGTCAGGGCGAACGTGAAAGTCCTCACATCTCTGCTGGCCGACGGTTCCAATAACAAATGCATCCAAGCATGATCTGTACAATATGAAGAGATGTGCTGTGTCTGCTGCTGCTGCAGAAAGGAGGAGACATTCAACTGAACTCACAGGAGAGCAGTGCAGTCTCTTTCAGCAGGGTTCCAGGTCAAGGCCTGTGACGGAACGTAAAATATAACAAGGCTCACCAGAGTTTCTGCGCGTTTCTTCACGCGGGTCCTGCTGCACACGCATTGGAGCGAATGTATCATTACTGTACGGTCTGGTCAGGGTGTAAATCTGAGGCACCTTGAGTCAACAGAGTCGCGTCGTTGGTCTCAGGGAAACCAAAACAGCTTTAAACTCTGATTTTTTGCTTCAGAAAAGGCTCACAAATCAACATCTCAGAAGTTTTTACAAATACAACTTTTGTCAGGTTACATTTGTAGCCACGGGGATGGGGAAAGTAATTTAATTGTCTTAATGTGATCAGAAACAGGCACTGACGTGCAAGACAAAAATAGCTGTAAACGAATAAAAAGACCTATTCGATTGGTTGTATCAAATGTTTGGATCAACAAGCAAAATATTGTAGAATTTCATATTTCGCTCTTTATCATGTTAGCAGAGGCAACCAGATGAGCTCATACATGTTTGAAACCTCAAGTGTATCGCTGTTTTTGCCAATACAAAAACCATGTGTGCAAAGACGTCTGGATGTTTTGATGTGAGCACTAAGTTGTCAGAATGAATGTGTCTGGCCTGCACTGCAAAAGACCAGGGTGTAGTTAAAGAGGACTGGACGTGTATGTGGTCCCCATGACTGTTGTGGTGCATGTCGGGCTGAGACGTCCTTGAGCAAATCACAAGATGGAGCACAATTATCAGTTAAGAGTGTTGTCTGGATGACACGCTGCAGTTTGCTTCTCTTTGTTTGCAAGGTCAAACATCGGCGATACTCGCAGTAAGAATCAAGAAAGAAGTAACAGTCAAATGAGAACGGCAACTT